TTTTGGAACAACATTATTTTCACCCTCGTGTTTTTTATGCCATTATTAGGTAAAATCTTCCATGTGAGATTCTTACCAAAGAAGGCCGATAATTTTTTTAGAACGATAATTGCGGATATTATGGAGCAAAGAAGAAGGGAAGAGACTCGTAGAAACGATTTTCTTCAGTTGATGGCCGATCTGGAACGGACAGAGGGTGATAAATTTGACCTGGAAATGATCACGTCTCACGCGCTGTCGTTCTTCATCGATGGCTACGAGACTTCCAGCACTGTTTTAAGCTTCATCGGCTTCAATTTGGCCACTCATCCAGAAGTGCAGGAGAAATTACGCGACGAGGTGGTGTCTGTGCTTAACAAATACGATGGTGTGATCACTTACGACGCCTTGAAAGATATGACGTACATGGATCAGGTATTAAGCGAATCACAGAGACTCCTACCCGCTTTGGGATTCCTGGACAAGGTTTGCACGCAGGATACCGATTTGAGAGGATCCGACGGACTCGTTTGTCACGTGCCACGTGGCATGCATATCATGATATCAGTCAACGGCTTGCAGGAAGACTCCCGATACTGGGAGAATCCTACAGTGTTCGATCCCGATAGATTTGGTCCGGAGAAAAAACATAGCATCGAGAGATTTGCTTATCTTCCCTTCGGCGAGGGGCCGCGAATGTGCGTGGGAATGAGAATGGCTCAGTTGCAGATGAAAGCATGTTTGGCCACGCTCCTGAGGAAGTACAGACTAGAGCTTTCCCCGAAGACACAAGTACCATTAAAGATGACGGCTTCGACCTTCCTGTCCGCTCCGGAGGGTGGCCTTTGGGCCATTATCCGACCGATTTAACTACGATATCTAAAAAAAATTTTTTAAATAGATTTTTTCTTTGTTTTGTTTACTTTTTTTTTACAATTATGGATTTTTTAAATGTTAGTTTCTGTAAGATTAATGTTTTTAATACTACATTTCTCTATTGGTTTTAAATGATACTTTAATATGAGTTGTATTTAAAAGCTGACCTAACTTAATAAACGTTAAGAAAATTTTTCATTTATTCGAGGAATTATAAACATTAGTCTTTTATTTTTTAATTGTATAGGTATATCAGACCTAATTTTTGTTGTTATCTCGTTTCAAGTTGTACTGTGAAGAAATTCTGAATTAATGTGTTTAAAATTATTTTTTATGTTTAGATTAGATATTATTATAATAAAAGAGATAATGTTTTGAGATACTATCATGTTGATATAACACTTAAATTGCGCATGATTTTGCGGTGCAAGTTATCAGTCATGCATGACTCGTCAGTGTTGCGATATTAAAACGAATACAAAAAGATGATAATGCATATTTAATAAGAATCTTTCAAGATTGTACTTTTCGGGATTTTTCCAGTATTGAGGATCTTTATGCAAAGCTTGAAACCGGTATCAGGACCTCCATTCCGAGTTGCACGCGATAGATAACTCTATCCGATTTTTTAGATCGAATTTTTCTGTACATTATTTTTTTATGACTATTCCTGCGGGTACTATTCTCATCGATTTGTTGAAGACTTGGTCCATATATGTCATTTCCCTCAAACCTTTATATGTGATTTCACCGTCGTTTCTGTTAAGCACGGACAACACTTCTTCGCATAATTTCTCCTGTATTTCCGTATAACTGGTCAAATGGAAGCCGGTGAAACTCATAACAGTGCTGGAGGTCTCCTAGCCATCGATGACGAACGACAGTGCCTGTCCTGTTAACATTTCGGTGTCGAATTTATTGCTCTCCACTCGCTCTAGTTCTGCCATTAAATGAAGAAAATTGTTCCTAAGTATTCCACCCTTTCTTCTTTGTGCCATAAGATCCGCAATTAACGTCCTAAAGAAAATGGTCTATGCGCTTTGGAATGATACTTATTTAAAAGATTTTGTTCAATGATGTAATGAGAAACACGAGAGTGAACATGATTTTGTTTCGCGTGAACGGCTCGAAAATAGTTTATCCGAGTTTTTGGAAAGATATATTTTTTTCTCGTCATCGAAACAGTATCCATTCATGCTGAAAACAGCGGCGACTACTACTTGGACGTTGTATCTGAAGAATAAGGACTTTAGCTCAAACTCCGCTTTCGCGACGTTACTCAGCTTTCCATCGTTGTATTTCTTGAATGTCACACACACCTTTTGACGCTTTCAAGCAGGATCTTCAGTTGCATACTGAAAAATGCATAAGTTAAACGCTTTCCGTTATTTTGTCACTTTTCGCTACTTGTAAATACTTATACATATAAGCATCAAAATTAAATCAATTTAGAAGGATCAAAACCCATGGTCAAAACGTCTTGACGATTTAAAAAAAATAATAGTAGAGTCGATTGAAAAAATTTTTACTGTTAATTATTCACTGGCGAAGTAAATGTTATTATTCGATTTAAAAGTAAAGAGTTATAAGCGCCTCGATAATCAGGGACATCAGCCCGACGGTCATGTTACTTCTCTCGGACAAGTGACACTTGGTCGATATAGCCTTGACCACATTGTTGCTGTGACTGGGGTTGTGACAGTGTAGTGGTATCAACGATCGTGCTGGATCGTACTTGATATTACGTATTGTTGTGCAGTTTATGTAACGTTACGTCGCACTTTAGCTAAAGCGAGTACATTGTTAGCGCCAATTAACAACAGTGAACAAACGCTGCTGCAAGACAGTAATTAAATTCGAATTGCGATTTTCAGTTTTGCCAAGTGAATTTTATTATTACGTAATGTCAACGAACATTTTCTCAGAATTGTATGGATTGAATTATTTTTTCCAGTCGTTGGAGAAAGAATATAAATAAATATATATTAAACATATTAAGAAAATTTTGGATTATTTTTGTATTGTATTAAAACGAGACGATAGAAATATTCGAATAATGAAATTGAAATAGAGGGGCTTATTCGATTACAACTTGCAAGTTTGCTATCGGAATAATAATCGCGGCGTTAAGATCTGATAAAAAACATACTATATTTTGTTATCATTATTTGCTATCAGTATGTGTCGATAAATCAATAGCAGTGTATACGATGCGATTGATTAGATTTCCGTAATTTTAATAAACAAATATTTTGTTGCTGAAACTAGACGTACACGGTTTAACGTACCGTGGTATATTGGCTCGTTTTTTTATTTATTAATAACCAGCAATTTATACTGGCCTGAGTCACTCGTTTTTAATATAAGGTGGCGCACAAAAATCGTCTCAATGTCAAGAGCACTAATATTCTCAGTATCAATATCAAGTGGGCTTTATTAAACTGAGAAAAAAAATTTGTTGAAAAACGTAAAATGTATTTTATCCAACTAAAATATTTAATACGATACTTTTAACTAAACATTAGTTGGCTTAACTAATCGTTAGTTAAATTAAATAATTCTTGATTGAAAAATTTTGATGGTTGGCATGAATAAATTTTTTTTAGTGGCACTTAATAATTGTTGACACTACCTGATACAATGGATGAACAATTATACAAATTAGTTTAAACAACCAATTTTTTTCAGTTTAGTAATAAAATAACAAATTGTATTCAATGAACGTTATTTTAATTTTTATGATGATAAATGATATTTTTGATATGC